GGGGGGGGGGGGGGGGGGGGGGGGGGGGGGGGGGGGGGGGGGGGGGGGGGGGGGGGGGGGGGGGGGGGGGGTGCCGATTGTAAGCTTGCGAACACGGCGTCTACCAGCTTGTTGTGCACCGTGTACCGTGTACTGCTGTGATCCCCCGCATGCAAGTGCAAACGGGTGTGGTTTCGTCCTGTGCATGCTGATGGCAAAGGCGGTCACGTGTGAACATATGGACACAGCAATCGACGCTTCTACGCCCGCTTGGCAGAAGGAGCGGACGCTGCAAAGTTGCAGTAACTAGTTCTCCGTACTCCGTGCGACGGTGCAGTGGGAGAGCTGCCTCGTGTAAATTAAGTGGACGAAAGTACGCAGGTGGTGAGGTCTGCGGTGCTGCTGATGGCGAAAATAGAGAGGGGGGGAATGTATCCCGTACGAAGCAGAAGAAATGCGGCTGTACTGTAGCGGGCATGGGGGCCTAGCTGATCGTTTCCGTGCAAGCACATTCCCCCGCTACCCCCCTCCGTGTTGCCGTCGCCTTGGAGTTGCGTGTCTGCCCGTACGCTGACCTGCACCTAACACGACCGATTTTTTTAAAGACGCCACGCGTCCACGCGCTGTCTTCGAAGGTTAGCGGAGTCAGCCACCGTGTTTCTGCTGCACCTCGTTGAAATTTGGGCAAACGCTTGAATATTTTACTTGCTGTGCTGTGCCGTTAGTTCAGTTTTGCGGCTGCACAAGCAGGCTGTCGTTTTCCACACTTTTTTTTTTTGTTTTTCGTTTCTTTCGACGGAATCCAGGTAATGGGGTCGTACGAAGACCGGATTCGTAACTTCAGCAGCGCCGAGCGAGTTTTCGAGTTCTTCGCTTCCGTGACCAATGAAAAGTGAGGAATGGGCCACAGCATGATACAAGAATGATTGTCGTGAATAAGAGAGGTCGTATGCATTTTCACTCGTAGATCCTGAGACGTTGGCCGACGGACTGTAGGTAGCGGGTGCAGGTGGCGGCGCATCGTGCTATCTAAAGCAATGATCGTCGTGTACCGTGATACGTAGCCTGTACCTTTTCTTTTGCGACACCCTGTGTACCTCAGCGACATGAGATCAGTACAAGTTTGTAAAATTCTTTGGGTCATCTGTGTGGTGTCTTCACGTACCCTTGCCCTACCGGACTTCCAGGCCCAAAGGTTTTGCTCTTGCCGTTCTTGTCGTTGTTTTATCTTGCGATACGACGTATGTGCCCCCCCCCGCAGAGGAACTTTCATGACCCCTGCCGACTTCGCCCGGTCCATCACGCCATACCAGCACCGGGTCGGCGAGAAAGTCGGGTCCGAGAACCCCAAGTACAGGTTTCAGGTTGGTCCTTATAAAAAAAGTGAAACATGTGAACGAAGCGACGAAATCATCATGTCCTCAGACCCGAAGATAGTCTTGACGGGGGTGAATGCCCCCCCCCCCCCCCCCCCCCCCCCTCCTCTCGAGGACGTGTGGTCAATGGTCTAACAGCTAAGGCGTGCGGAACATGAGAGTACGCCCCCTCCACCCACCCACCCACCCACCCCCGATCTCCAGACAACCTCAATTGCAACATTTTCTTGAACAGATCGCGTTTGTTTTGGGTTGTGCAGGCGAAGCACCACGGGCCGACGGCATCGGAGCTGGAGGGCTATAAAAAGGTGCTTAAGGCCATCCTGGAGGACTCGCGGGTAACGCCGCAGGAGGTCAAGGACATGCTAGACGCAAGGGAAAGGTATTGAGATGGATTTGGCAGTTCGTTAGTAAGTCTTTTTTTTTTCTTCCACAACAAGTATTCATCTCTTCCACAGATAGTATTCTCCGTTTTCTTGGTCGTCGTTATTTGTTCATTCTAATATTTTTATTTGTGGTTGCAGACGGAAAGTGATAGCCTTGTCCGTGTGCGTGTGTTTGTTATTAGCATCGACCGCGCTAACCGGCTGGCCAATGAAAATTGTCAGTCTTAATGCGGTTGAAAACACGAAATGCTCCTGAAGGCCCCACAATCTGGAACGCTGTGACCGAGCGTCATAAGGGAGTCTACGCTACTCTCTGGATTTAAGACGAATACCGTAGCAATAACAGAAGAACACTGCACGTGTTTACGATGGCTGTGTGTCTGTGTGCGCATGCATATGTGGAGCTGTTCCACTTTCATGTGTGCGGGTGCAGGCGCGTAGAAGGAGACCCCCAAGACTCTACTCGCTCCTCGCACCCGGCAACTGCAGTTGTTCTAGCACACAAACAAGAGCGGCGGTATCTGGGCGTGGAATGACGACGGCATTAGCTTGAGTCCAACAAGAACAACAAGAACAGTGTGGGTCGCATCAACAACGACAACAACAACAACAACAACAAATCGCAGGTTCAACATCACCGCCGAGGCCCACCTGAGGGTATTGGCGGAGCTGGGGGAGTCGCAGATGCGCCTCGACGCCCTCATGGAGGCAAAGGGTGGCATCCCCATAGACAGGTGAAAAAACAAACAAATATAATATTCAGCAGTTTCTTTTTTCAGACATATTTCGTCGCCCGCTCTTGCTCTCTCGTCAATTTCTGTTGGAGCTTTCTTCTGCATGAGTGTCCGTTTTGTTTTTGTGATAAACGTCCTGTGCAGCACCGGTTGAAGTGTTTTATGACTAGATCGGGGCAACAAATGAGTTTTGAGGACAAGCATAAACCCTTGAGCATACTGCCGCCGCTTGGCCCTTTGTTTAGCCAAGAATGGATGGGCCTGTGGCGTTTTGCCAACGGCGTTGGACAGAGCCCCCCACGAGGTTTGCCGAAGATGAATGTGTTTTGTATTTTACATTCACAGCGTTCCTTTCGTACTATTTATTTAATTCCTTCGTTTCTCCCGGGGCGGCTTGTGTCGGTTGTCAGGCTGCTGCTTGTTGCGGTTCGAGGAAGTGTTGTGGAGTGATCCGCGACGTGTGGGTTTTAGAAGTAGTCTTAGCACCACAGATAATACCGATAATTATCTGATGTGTCTCTACAACTAGACGTCGTTGTAGCAGCGAGGATTGAGGTCAGAACTGCCGGGTATCGGACTTTGCTGAGCCTGGGGTTTCGAATCCTACAGTACCCTGAAAAAACAGTGATGCCAGTCGGAATAGACACACTGATCAGAGGAATGAAAATCTCTTCGTTGACGCCAATGAGAATGCCCTCTCTCTGTTGCGAGTAAGGGTCCCTGGAGTGGTGAATAAACGTTCACCAACGGAGGTAAGATCGCTTTTCTTGTAATGTGGCGAGGAAGTGCCAAACGTAGCCGAGAGTCTCGGCTTCGCTAGTTCAAGAAAGGTGTAGGGTGTGAGAGTTAGGAACGTGAGGCGCTTTCGCCTCCATCTCCTCATCTCCGATAGTCACATGAATAGTCACGGTATTCTGTGAATCTGTCCTGGCAAACGTCTTCGGACGGGAGAATAATGTTCATGTAGTCCGACGATCTTTGCTGGTCGCATTTGCATTATTACCCCTTTTTAGGAAGATCCTGGTTTCCACAACAGTGTTGCTATTTCACACATTTTTCTCTGCAAGTATCTGTTGTGTGACAGCTACAACATTCTCGGGGGTTGGCGTTCCTTGGAGTGGCAAGAACTGGTGTGGTGTTAGGTGCAGCTGCCGTGTAGAGTTGCAAGCAGTGCACCGCCGATGGTAAGGGCGACACAAACAACTCGGCGTGTACGGCAGCAGGAAGGGCTCGAAGCTAAGAAACGTTGCTTAGAGATGGGGGTCTAGGCTCTTACTCTTTTGGTTTGGTGGCAACGGGGGAGGACGCCCCAGATTGTGCAGGCAAGCTGCGGAGTAAAAAACGCCCTTGGAAATTTTGTGTGGCAACATGGCGAAGCCCCTTTCTCTCTCTTGTCATTGCTCTTAAACCCAACCCTGCAGTTTCTTGGCTATGGTCGACATCGACGGTGACGGGTTGATCAGCTACGAGGAATATATGCTCTTCCGCACCCTGCTGAGCTTCCCCCAACGGAAGGTAAGCCGGTAACGCCCATCCCGTTCTATTTTGTGGAGCCCATCCCCTCCACCGAGTTGTCGATGCAAAGAGTGTGGAGTTGGCTGTTTTCCGGTAATGCTCACGATCTCGAATCGAATCTTCGAGGTCCTGGTAGTTTTTCGTGGCGAACTTAGACTATAGCTCCCACGTTCGGCGGTTCTGTTGCAAAGACCGATTTGCTTCTCTGGCCGGACAAGCGGGGATGGATTTCGGCCATATTGTGGATTAATAGATCAAGATCTTCACCGGGGGGTAGGGCTGACCCAAACCCTCTCCATAGACGACGTGGTTTCCAGTCTGTCCGCCGATCTGTCACGGAGCACAGAGAAATCAATAGTGTCAACCACGTACCTCACTGGGATACAACCTGGCCAAAGCATACGTACAGACTTCATCACTCATTTCCACCTCCCCCACCTCCTCTCATTTTTTTTTTTTGAACAGCTCCCCACCCACTCCTCTTTTTCTCTGTTCTCTCTCTCGTTCTCTCTCTTTCTCTCTCTGTCGCTGTCTCTGTCTCTGTCTCTGTCTGTCTGTCTGTCTCTCTCTGTCTCTCTCTCTCTCGCGCGCTCTCTCGCTCTGTCTCTCCCTCTCGTGCGCGCATGTGTTTCGTGTTCGCCCGCTCTTGTTGTTGAATGTTGTTGGATGGGAGCAGCTATCGATCGCGTTTCGCATGTTCGACCGCGACGATTCCGGTGCGGTAGACAGCCACGAGCTTGAGTCCTTCATGCAGGTGCTACGAGGGGAGACGAATGTAGGGAGGACGGAAGGGGGCACGCACACTGATGGCTTCGGCGGTGAGAAGCAAAGGGGGGGGGTACTCATGCACACGCATGCCGTAATCGTTAGACCATTGGCCTCGCATTCCTACAATGCCGGAATGGAGCGATTCGCCGGCCCAGGTAAAAAGCTGGCTTGAAGCTGGCTGTGGTTTGTTCGACTGACTCGCACCCTTCCTCCTCGTGGGCGCCTCAAGATTTGCGCGTGTGGCCATAAGGTCGCCGCTCATCTCATCTGGACCCCAAAACCCGAGAGGTCGGATAGAGGGCAACATAATAAGTAAATAGTCAAACAACGGTTCTCGACACGGGCGCAACGGAATCGTACGCAACACATGCCGCACTCACGCACCCCCCGCAAAGTGGTCACGACGTACGTTTGTACATTGACAAGCGCACCC